CTCAGTTCAAGGTCATCCTCAGCTACATATTGAATTCCAAGCCAAATGAGGTTATAGGAGACCTTGTCTCAAAAGCAGAACAAAAAACAAAAAAACAAAACCCCCACAAGAACCATCCACCTCTTTACTACTTAAGTGAAGCTAAAAATAAAAAAGCTAAAAATAAACACAGAAAAGGCAAAAGCTGTTATATCATTGCTAATCAGCATCGATACAGTACAGTTGTTCATCAGAAACCAGGTGACCTTCAGGAACCACCACGCTCAGCTAAGCCGGGGCTGCAAAGCAGAAGACACTCTCCTGTCTAGATCCTTTGCCACGCCTTAGCCTCTGTTAGGCAATGAGCACAGCAGAAAAGATATTTGTGGTCATATTAAAACAAGGTGGCAACTTAGCAATTCTGGAGGGTGGCCTGAAATTCTATATCCCAGCCCTGCTCTGCAAACTTGTTACATAATTGGGAAGATGGGCACAGTGCTGAGCAGGCATCACTCTGCAGACACATGTTGGTTGAATTGCTCACCCAGCATGTGCAAGGCGCTGGGTTCCATCCTGGGACGGGGGTCAGGGGAGGGCATATGCATGAAAAGAAAGTAAAAGCACAGAGATTTCAGAATCCTGAGCCTAGAAGCACTGGACTTGTGTTTTTACGTGTAGGTGAGCAAGTCGAAGGCTCCGCATCACCAGTAGAGGCACTGGTTAAATTAGCAATAAAACACAGTGCCGAACAATGGGTTCTGGTTTGGCTTTCCTGCCATCTGTGAGCAGGCTGAAGACTAAAAACCCTGTGTTTTATGATCAGCGTCTTTAGACAGTTCATATGCAAGGGGTCCTCAAGGAACACACATAACCCAGCGCAGCCGATCTTCTAGCCTGAGTCTGAGTTTAAGGCCCTGGATAACTATCCAATGGCAACAGAAAACTCTGGAGTAAGCTGCAGCCAGGGTGCTCTGGGTGGGATGAGGTCACAGCCCAGCAAGACAAATCATCACAGGCTCCAAAATTTTCCCAACCAAATAAAAGGCATCATTCCTTAATCTCTCCACGAGGCTGCCACCCAAGTCTACAGCACAGATTTTGAAGCCTGTTTAAAGCTAGGAAGAAATATGAAGCAGCAAAGAAAATGGCCACTTACCAAGTTCACCAGTGGCCCCCCAGAATTCCCGTGCTAAAGACAAGTTGAGAGAGTCGTCAGTTAGCAGACAGATACATTTCTCCACATCAATTATACACAGTTCCTATACACAGTGAGTTTTACCAGAGAAGCCTGCTTCCCCAAGGCAGGCCCCTCACCTTCCCAATCCTAAAGTCAGGGTGGGTACAAGGCAAAGTAAAAGGACCCCACACTGCATCACGGCAGTGCCCTCTGCAACAAGCCCCAAGCGTGGGTGCCAGTTATATCTAACAGTCAGCTCTAGCAACAGGGCAATCCACCCTCCCTTAGGGATGACCTCTGAGAATGCTCAAAAGTCCGAAGGGAAAAGAGATGGCTCTGAAGTTTCCTTCCCGCTATACCCTGACAGTATCTTCGGGGCTGCGGACGGCCTCCCAGAGTGACTCACGTTAATGATGGCATCCGTCTGGATGTAGTCTATGTCGGAGTCCTGCAGCCCCAGCTCTTTGCCGCCTCTCTGTGTGGTGCTAACAATCCCCGCAGTGACCGTGTTCTGCAGAGAAAACGGGCTGCCCAGAGCCACCACGAACTCTCCAGCCCGGAGGTCAGATGATCTCCCCAGCAGCAACACAGGAAGGTCAGTCTACACATGGGGGTGAGAAGCAAAGATGGCGAAGAAGGAACACAGTCAACCAAAGCCGACGGTAACACAGTTGAACCAGCACCCTTCCTTCTTCCTCAGGTTCAGGTCCTACCAAACTCTACTTTCTTTAAGGTAATTGAGACCATTTCTAAGATTGAAATTTGAACTTCTAGCTGCTAGAGGGATGGCTGAGAGTCCCTGCGGTCCAAGGAATCCACCCTGCCACAGGCCAGCTTCACTGCAGAGCAGCCTTGGCTGGGGCAGACGTGGTCCAGGCTGGCTCTATAACCCATGCCAGGAGGGCAGACAATCAAGCATCGGCTGTTCCCAGTGGAGGGAGCATGAGGCCACAGGGTCTCCTTTCCTTGGGGACTAGGGAGAGCTGTGTCCTTTCCTCAATGTGAGGGGTCCTCAAGCTTCTAACGCTGCACCCTTTAATATAGTTCCGCGTGTTGTGGTGAACCCCAACCATAAGATTATTTTCATTGCTACTTCGTAACTGTAATGTCGTTACTGTTATGAGTCATAATGTAGATACCTCATATGCAGGATATCTGATATGGGACCCGGTGAAAGGGTCGGGCAACCCAATGGGGTCGCGACCCACAGGCTGAGAACCACCGCTGTATCGTCCCATTAGTACAGCAGGCTATAGGAGCCCTGGCTTTACTATGCGCTATTCTGCCATCCCTTCTGATGAGGATGAAGTTTTTTCTTCCATCCCTGGCCCCACTCTGGGTTCTCCTAGGACAACTGAGTCACTCGCCCTACCCATGGTGGGGAAGGGGGCAGGGAAAAGGAGAAGGGGGTATGGGAAGAGAACCTGAAGTCTGCCCTGCTGCAGCTTTGGGAATTACAGTCTTCATTTACAGAGGAGGGATTGAAAACACAACAGGTAGGGGCAGAAAGTGTGGAGGGAGGTGGTCTCGGAAATGCGAGGGTCAGTGATACTCTACATTTTAATCTCCACATCACCCATCACTTTGTTCTTTAAAAAAGAAGCCTGGAAGGAAAAAAAGTGTGTGTGGGTGAACATACCCAACATACAAAGAGAAGGCATGGTGGAGGAGTACAAAAGAAACTATCAGCATCTGAGCTCTGATGCCCCAAATGTGACTCTGCTCTCAGCCACTCACATTTGGCTCAATCTTTATCAGTGCGAGATCCAGTTTGTGGTCGATGTCTTTGACTGTGGCCTCATACTGGGCCCCGCTCTGGAGCTCTACCTGGATCTTCTGCTGGTTGGTGAGGACGTGGGCATTGGTGATAATGAGCCCGTCCTCTGACACTATGAACCCAGAGCCACTGGAGGCAGGGATTTCCTTGTTGGTGAGAGGCGATCTGTCCCGGAACAAGACAAGAGAGTGAGCAGAGGGAGGGGCAGGAAAATCTGGGAATCCAGCCATTGTTTGTGAGCCACAGGAAGCCTCATTTTTATAAACCCCATCTCCTTAAGTTTTCTCAAGCATTTTTTTCCCTTGCCCTGTCTACTTTACATCTTCTTTGTGAACCGCCTGTAGCACATCCTGGCCATTTTTTTCCGAACAGAACTGAGAGTTGGGTCCCGGGATGCTGCTTCCGCCTTCAGATCCCGCCAGCATGTATGTCATCTGCTACAAAGAGGCCAAACCTAGCGCCACCGTGTCAGAACCTAGCTCTTAGTCTCCACTAACACCTGCCCATGTGACACAGAACAAATTCATTTTGCTCTCGGGGACGTGGGTTTCCTTGCATGCTCACGACGGCTAACGCTAAACAAGACCCCCCAAATGCTGGCTGGCTCCTACGGCCAGCCATAAGTTTTGCTTGTGGGATATGGGAGAGACAGCAACACCAGACAGGATAAACTCATGCCGTTGTGTAGCTTGGATTTAGAAGCCGGAAGAATCCTTGTGCCTGGCTCTTTGCTCTTTAGCGAAATAACACTTAGCAGTTTCCTCCCGGGCGTGAGGCTGGAATCAGAGGCCTCCCGCATCCCTCGCAGGGGCTCTACTGCCTGGCTATAGCCCAGGCAATCCCGCGGGGTGGGGGGTAGTGGCAGGGGGGTAGCTGGGCCTGGGCGCGGCCTTTACCTGCGGAACAGCTGCAAGTGAACCACAGACGGCGCCACCTTCTCCACCACCGCGGCGATAAAGTTGAACTTTCTCCTGAGCCACCCCGCACCTGCGGTCCCTGGGAAGAAACGGTCCGAGGTGAGGGGGTCAGTGGGAGTCCTCCTCCCCGGATGCAAGCGTCACGTCTCAAAATTCCCAGCATCTCCCCGCCCCCCTCCCTCTGCAGGTTCTCCAGACTCGGAGATGAAAGGAGCCGGCCTGTCACACCACAGTTTTAAAAACTGGGAAAGGGAAACCCCGTGGCAACCAGTAAAGAGAACACGTTAACCAGGCAAGGACACCAGGAACAACCACAACAGGTTGACTCCCTGGAGCTGGCGAAGAAGGGCCGGCCGGCGCCCCGCTCACCTGGGTCCCCGCAGCCACCCTTCTGCACGGGCACGGCCGGGAGCGCGCCCCGCAGGCGCGCGGCTCGGTTCTCCTTCCGCAGCGCGCACAGGCTGGGGTAGGTGCGCCCGTCGCTGCCGCACACCGCCGCGCCCTCGGCGCCCTCGGCGCAGCCGCAGGTGCCCAGCCACGCGCCCCCGACGGGCTCCCGGGAGAACGGGGCGCCGCAGCGCAGCCCGGAGACGCACGGCCGGCCCCGCGCCCCGCCGCACTCCTGGCCCTCAGCCGCGGCGCACACGCGGCAGCAGCCGCAGCCGTCGGGGACCGGCGCCGTGCCAGCCGAGCAGGTGGGCAGCGGCGGGCAGCGCGTGGGGTCGCAAGCCACGGGGCAGGGTAGCGGGACTCTGGACCTCCTGGCCTCCGCCCGGGGAAGAGGCACAGCCGGCAGCAGCAGCCACAGCAAGAACTGTGCTCGCACAGTCCACCGCGGCTGGGACACCATCTTGCTCCCCGTCCTCTTCTTCGAGTCCACTTTTCCAGTTACTTCACTCTGGGCTCACAACTGGCCTAAAATGAGCAACACTTTCTCCCCTCTGCCAGCCTCCAGACGTTATAAGGGACAGAATCTGGCTCGCTTCTGCGCGCACACACCCATATGTCACCCACCACCCATGCCACCCCAGGACAAGAGCCCTGAAGGGAGGGCCTACTCAAAAAATAATAATAACAGTCATGGGGCAAGTGGAAAACGTGACCGCCCACCCACGGCCACGAGATCTGACCAGGAAAACACACAACCAGATTTCATATTTCACATGATTTTATTACAAAACAAGCAACCAAACAGTTTTAGAAAATTACGTTTTGCTACATACCAATTAGGAGATCATACAACACAAGAAGCTGGAGTTTCCATGCGCTAAGCTCAGTGCTTGCGGGAGGTGTTTCACGGCTCAAACACTGGCTCAGACGGGGCATGCCACACCTTCATAAACCGAGCGCCAAGGGTCACGCTGTGTTTTTGCCAAATACTCACTTTATTCAAAGCCTACCTAGTATGAGTGACTGTAATTGACTCTGACAGGCAATAACACACAGAGAGAACGGGGGACTGAGGAAAACAGATTTTGGAGGGGAAAAAAAATCAAAGTTAAAAGAAGTGACACGGGAAGCTTAACTTCCAAGACGCTGCCTTTTGCCACCTACCGGACGGCTGTTTGGTTGACCCTGAAAACAAACCCACACCACTGGCCGGCTACTTATTTAGAGGGTCATTTTAGTCCTGAGGAGAGCACGTGTGTATTCTTAAAAGGGGAAACCGAATAAAACCAGTTTGCTTCCAGTAAACTAGGATGCTGGACCTCAAACCTGTCCTCAGGAGCTCAGCGTTCTACTTGGAAGCGGTCCCTCTCCAGGCTGTGGTCTCCCGCGGCCTCACGGAATGAAAAAGGCATGCTATTCTTACCATCACCTGACCTTGGGTAAGCAAGTCCATGAAACCTCTCAAGAAAAATGGATGGTGAGTCCTTCAGCTAACCAAGAACTGTGCCTCGGAAGCTTAATAGAAGCTGTTTTTATTCCACAAATACAATGTAGTACCTTTTACAAACTAGAAATCCCTTTTAAACTATCCACATTCTGTGTTTAACCACAAACCTACACGGCATCACGCCCCACTTCTCCCCCACAGGGCTTTGTTTTGTACACTGAAAGCTAAAGGTTGAGGCACCATCTTCGGCTCCCATTAAAATTCTTCGGTAGGGTGGATGGTAGCACATGCTTATAATCCAAGCACTCAAGAGGCTGAGGCAGGAGGATTACCAGTTTGAAGCTAGCCTGGACTACATATCAAGACTCCAGCAAAAACACAAATTAAAGGGGGATGGGAATTAGTTATAAAACTGGCCAGAAATACAGACAGAAAAGGACCTCTGAAATAAAACTTGGGAATTGAATGTTTTGGGGCTTCACAGAGATAACTGTATTTTCAGGACACCAAAACTATATTACCAATGTTCTAAGTTGGAAGTCCCATATTTTTATTGGCCAGTTAGGGTCATGGAAACTCTGTACTTTCCTTTTATTTCCATAATGCAAACTTCATTGTGTTTAATCTAAAACAATCTCGAAATACACACTGAAACCTGTCAGCTTTCTATGATGACCAGTTGATGTAGAGTAATCGCCTAGCCCTAGGAGAAGGGCACATAGATTTTGCAATTTAAACGCCAAAGGATGACATCATTTCCGTGAGTCAGGCCATGTTTAAAGCCTTTCAGGAGTTACTGACTTATTTTCATTACTTCCTCATCTCACATTGAGTAATTCTGCTGAGCGGCCAAAGAATTTTCTAGAGAAAGACAAAGGGTTCTGGGTTTTGAAGTAGGCTGTAACCTTGATCACTCATAAATAAATAATCCCCAATCCATAAAAACCAAAATACACAAAGATTATTTTTTAAAAAAGTAGGGGGTGGAGGGAGGCAAGATTGTGAACAGAAAAAGAGAAAAAGACCCAGTGGTTTGGGTTTTTCAGATCAGGAACACAAGGCCAAACTTGAAGTGGGGGACAGCTCCCACACACTGAGCTCAGGAGTCCAGTGTGACACCAGATCCAGGGTCACAGTCACATTAGAAGGGACATAGTTCCTCTCACACTGTGGAGTATTATGCTTGTTTCTGCTTTTGCATTAACTATGGACACAAAGAGTAGCAGCTGGCTTAAGAAAAAATGCCTCCTAGCCCCTTCTTAGAAGAAAGCTACACATTTCTAATTAAATTATGGTTTATTTATCCATCTGATTAAAGTTACACGATAGGAATGAGCCACGTCCTCTCTCCCTGTAAGAAATGGCCATAATTTTCCGGTAACACAATTCACTTAAGGTTGATAGACAAATACTCCCAAAGGCACTGGAAATAGTATCTTGCTCAATGGAAAGAGCTACACCCTAAATTTTGGGTGGAAATCTAATCTTCTAAACTCTTCTAGAACCCAGGAAACCCCTAGCCAGCAATCCAGCCTCTGATTCAATTTCTTCATTCCCAGTTTCTATTCCATGAAAAATAGAATCATTGTCATGTCTCTGTGTCTCTCCACTGGTGAGTGCGTGTGATCTTATCAGATCTCATCAGTTTCACCCACGCTGTGTGCATGGTTTCATTTAAAGTCTGAAAAAGCAAGTCAGTCAGCAGGGTGCACTATACCAGCAGTTAACACTGGACAAAAGTTGGCCCATTCTAAAACATCTGTGAAACAGCGACTCACAAGATTCGCCGTGTCAAAGAACCACCATTCTCCTGTCTGGAAAACATGGGTCAAAGATGCTCTCTGGAATGAGTCACCTGTCTCCTCTCCATAGCTCGTTTACATAAACCTAAGGCTCTGAGATAGAGATTGCTCTAACACACAGACACACGTACACTTGCGCACACACCATACATACCCCCCCACACACACACACCTACAGAGAAACCGCTCTACACTTAACCATCACACACACTCAACGTGGTTTCAACGGAAGCGCCTGTTCCTGTCTCCGCAGTCATCACACTTAACACTGACTACCCCATCCTCGGGGCCTGACAGAAAACAGACTGGTGGCTCTGCCCCCGGGGCCTGCAGCATTTGGGATCACAGAGCATCAAGAGGACAGCGCCATTCCCACAAGTGACTGTGGCAGTTTAATTAGCCCTCATGACTCACAAGAAATCCCCTCTGCTCCCCTGGGAGGTGTCCTGAAGGGACTGCCTGGGTAGACACTCCAAAGTTCACCCTGCTTTGCTCGCCAGAGCCTAATGACACCCCTCAGAGGGATCCCAGTCCAGACGTTACCTGAGTCTCCCACACCCAGTGGTCACCCTCTGCCTGATCCCCAGGCTTCAGCCAGCCAACAGGGGCAGATGAAACCAGTTCGTATCCTGAGATCCTCTACACAGACCAGAAATAAAACCAAGAAAATAACAGATATAGAAGAGGGGGGGAAAACGGTTAGAAGTGAAACTAGAGTCTAACCTCCTCCAGACGGGAAGTATTAAAACTAACCCCTCACTAGGGATCCTGGGGGAAGGAGGTCTCTCGAGAAGTAATGGCGTACGTGGGTCTAACCTGGTAACTTTCCCCCGTTAAATAAACCGTGTCGATAATAACAGAAGCAAAGCCAGATGGACGGGGCCTCCACTGCAAGTGCCATTAGCCTCTGTCCTCCACCATGGCAGAGAAGATGAGTCACAGCCCTGCCTCTCCTGCATGCCGAGGCACTGCGCGTCACACGTCAGAGGTCCGTATGTTTTCGTCATCCAGGTTGAACACAAATGGCTTCTCCTTGGGGTGCTGGGGCTCCGACCTGTGCCTGACTCGAGAGCTGGCCAGCACCCCTGTGGCATTGCTCTCCCCGGGGTGAGGCATGAATAAAGGGTCCCCTGCAGTGTTTTCTGCTGACAACAGCTTTTCCCCAGGCTGGGGGACAGGTGTCCAGGGTTGCCAGGAGGAGGCCACGGAGGGGGCCTTACAGAGGGCTCTTTTTTCTTCTGCTGGGGGAGGCCGCCTCCTTGACAAGATGGAGTTAGACCCACTTGCAAGGCTGGAACTTCCAGGTCGAGTCAAAGAAATGGATCTAGAAAAGGATGGTTCCTAGAAGCAGAAAGAGAAGAAAAAGATGAAGTAAGGAGTCTTCCTTACAGGGTTTATCCCAAAGTCTCAAGAAAAGCACCCACCCAGGATCACCAACTCCAACAGGGACACTTGGCTACAAAACTCAAGTAAATGCATGGAAGTCAGGGACAGCTACAGTTCCAGCTTCCCAAGATGCTAAGCCAGGAGGGCGGTGTGAGCTAGTCTGGGCCATACAGCAAGACCCCCCCTATTCAAAAAATAAGTAAATAAACACGTAATTTTTTAAAAGACATTAAGCAGAATTCACTCCACGTGTTTGAGGATCTGCCTGACACTGGACTTGTAAGTCACATCAGAAACTTCATGTCTCTGTCGAGCCCAGCCTCATGTCAAACCGGGGGGTGGGGGGGGGGCAATGTACCCACATAGCAGAGAGAGAAAAACAACTGAGCCAGCCTACAGCTCAGCTGCATCTGCGGCCGGGCTGCCTGCCTACATAACCAAATAAAACACGGCCATTCGAAGTTTAATTTATCTTTAAGCTGACACTGTGGCCCAGAGAGGAAGTGACATACTCTGGGGTGGCACTTGAGGGCCTGGACAGCTGCTCCGATCTCCTGGATCCAGCTGTGCATGTCTTCAGGGCTGTCCGCCTGCAAAACATCCACAACACTTACACACATTTTTTGGCATGTGACTTCGGCTTCCAAGTCTCGGGCTCCAGTTCATGAAATCACATCACAGCTCACAAGGATCTTGGAAACTATGTATTCCAGTGGCTTGGGGACTTTTGAGGACATATTCACCCTGCAAGCTCTCTCTTGATGCCCAATAACTAAAACTGTTCAATGTTAAGCTGCCACCAAAAGAGGGGGGGCTATGGGGAAGGGGACAGCCTAGTTTCTTTTCTTCTGACTAAACCCATCACCCTAGTTTTCACACCAAAAGAAAATGAGACCCACGTTTGAGGCTGGTCTAGACGCCACTCTCTTCATCTCTCCCATAATCATTTGAGCAGGAGACTCCTTTAAATTCCAATAAATCAAACTGCCTCTGAAGACCCTCCAAGGTCTACAGGACCTTTCTCAAAGCCCAAGCTACGTGGGTCTGTCCTAAAAATTCACTCCAGCCTTGGGGTAAGAACTAAGCTGAAGAACTCAATAGCACAACTGAGAGAAGCATTTCCCCTAGGGAGAAAAAAAAACCTCATAACCCCAGAAGGGGGCAGCAGTCTCTCCAGGGAAAGAGGAGACAGAGGCGGCTTGGCTCCTGCAGGCAGAGCCTCTGGGCGCCTCCCAGCGGTTGGAAGGAAGAATGCAAGTGAATACAGACAGTTACAGAGGGAAACAAGAGGACGCTCCTCCGTCCTACCATCTTCCCAGAGCTGTTCACCCAAACACAGAACTTGTGTGTGTGTGTGTGTGTGTGTGTGTGCGTGTGCGTGTTTGTGTGTACGTGCGCTGTGCAGGCAAGAGCACCCAGTCCCTAAGTGCCCCCCCCACCTCTTTCAATTCTACCAGGATAAAACAGGACCGCTTTGGTTTTCATTGTTTTGTTTGCCCCCAAGCTTGCATTACTATCCCTTCCTTTCACCCCAAAACAAAGCCCCTCTGGTTATCCCTGTGCAGCACACACCAACAAAGGCATGAGGTCAAAAGGAATGATGAGGGCTCGTGGTGCACACACCTGCTAACTTAGTCATGCTTGCTCTCCCTTGCTTCCTTTTGGTTACTTGGCAGTCTAGTAGCTTTCCAAGAAAAAAGACAAATATATCCCAGGTCCAAAGAAGGTAGCCAGAATTCAGTATCCAAGCTTTTTTCTAAGATCAGGATGAGAGACAGCACGTGCCCTAGACAGGCCTAAAGGAGAACTAAATAATTGTGAAGTTCTGCTATTTGCATTCCTAGGCAAGTGGTAGAACCGCTTCTGGAACAAGTGGCAAGCCAAAATTTAAAAAGGATCAAACAGGAACACATATTCGGTGGAGAGATGTGCCCGGTCCACTGGGCTCTCCATGTCTTAGCGCTGACTGCTAGTTTTGCTCTTCTATGGTGAGAGGGAAGCAAGCAAACCTGAAATTCCACTACCGTGGCCCAGCCTTTAATCTCCACACTCAGGAGGCAGAGACAGGTGGGTTCTTGACCAGCCTCATTCATACAGCGATCCCCAGGCTGGCCACAGCTACAAAGCAATACCGTCTCCAATTGATATCATATGAAAGGAAAGTATATTTTGTAAAATGCCTTCAGTAGCTTTAGCTACTGTTTTACCTTTTTATTTCAAAGTTATTTTTATGAGGGCTGGAGAGAGAGCTCAGTGGCTAAGAGTGCTGCTGTGTGAGCAAGAGGACCCAAGTTTGAACCAGGACACATATAAAACCTGAGCATCTGCACGTGTTTGTACTATCCCCCAACAGGACACAGACAGGTGGATTCTGGGGGCTCACTGGCTGGGCTGCATGCCTGGGTGGAATGTCAGTTTCAGGTTCTGTGAGAAGCTGTCTCAAATCACAAAGTAGAGGGCCTGGACAGAGGGCTCCGCAGCGAAGAGCACTGGCTGTTTTTTAGAGAGCCCAGGTTTAACTCTCAGCACCCACATGGTGGCTCACAACTGTCTGTCATTCCAGCTCCATTTGATCCACACCCTCTTCTAGTCTCTGCAGCTACCAGGCACACACGTGGCACACAGGCATACATGAAGGCAAGACACCCATACACACCAAATAAAACGATTTTAGAGAAAGCTTTCGCCATCCAATAGACAAAAGTCATTGACGTCCTCCTCTGGCCTCTGCATGTACATCACAGGCATGTGTCCCACATATCCATGGACACATACAACACACACATATACAGTCTTTGTTTGTTTGTTTTTTAAGACAGGATTTCTCTGTGTAGCCTCAGCTGTCCTGGATGCACTTTGTAGACCAGGCTGGCCTCACAGAGATCTGCCTGCCTCTGCCTCCCAGAGTCCTGGGATTAAAGGTATGCACCACCATGCCTAGCATGTACATTCACTTAAAAATATTAGTCGAATAGAAAAGCAAGTATTGCGGTTGTTTCCATAGAAAGAACCAAGAAGAAATACTATTTTTCAGCGCTGAGGTCCACCCAGCCCAGGTGTCCTATCAGGAAACCAAAAAGTGTCAACACTGAGTAGATTGAAAGGAAAATGCCACATGCCCCTTCTTGCTTCCTGCCCTGCTCTTGTGTGCATTGGTTTCTGCCCTTGATGGCAGTTGATAAGAAGACAGGAACAAAGTTTTGAAATGAATTCATTCAGCCTGTGGTTTTACTGCAGTCCAGGGAGCATCTTTCTGAGCCTGAGTGATGAGTCCAGCCCTACACACACGCAGTGAGTTATGGCAGACATCAACAAAAGACATCTATTATCTCCCTCTGCTAACTGTGGTTCCCCTACATCTCCAGCAGTTCCTTCTTCTTCCTGTGATCCCCAACTTCTTCCTTTCCCAATGAGCCAATCCCATCTTTAGAGACAGCCCCACAGTGGAAAACTGTATAAATTATGCCTTACATAGTTCTAGGTTTTCAACTTTCTTAATGCTGCCGCCCTTTTTAATACCGTTCTTCCTGTTGTGACACCCCCAACCATAACATTATTTTCATCGCTACTTCATAACTGTAATTTTGCTACAGTTATGAACTGTAATGTAAATATCTTATATTTTCAATGGTCTTCAGTGACCCCTGTGTAAGAGTCATTTGAAGACCAAAGGGGTCACGACCCACAGGTTGAGAACCACTGTTCTAGGTTGTAGCCTTCACCTCAGAGTCCAAGTTACGCAGCAACTATCCAAGAGTTCCAGCTCAGCACCTCCTTGTCACACTTGCCAGCGCTGTTGTTCTGGCACAACAGCCTCGTTCTGACAAGTGAGCTGAAGAGCATTTATTTCACCATAGTTCTCACTTCTAGCCACAAACCCTCCTGTTGCTAAACTGCCATACCCCGGGCCCAGTATGACAAAGACCCCTACTCTATATTCCAAGGATTGAAGGTCGAATTATGTCTGGGGAATGCTAGAGACTGAAACCAGGACTTTCCACTTTCCAGGCAAGTGCTAAACCACTGAGCTGCAGCCCAGCTCTGAAATCTCACCTTGAACCCTTGCTCGGAACTTAGAGATGTCTACCAGCCGATGCTGCTTCAGCACCATTTCCACCCAGCGGATGCCTGATTACTACCTGGATCTGGTCACCATAATCCATCCTCCAACATACCCAGTCGCCATAAGTTGGTCAAAGGCGATTTTTTTTTCTGGTGGTGGCTACATCCTTTACACAGCAGTTCCTAACCTGTGGGTTGCCGCCACTCGGGGGGTCACACATCAGACATTTGCACCATGATTCATGAGAGTAGTGAAATTACAGTTATGAAGTAGCAAAAAAAAAAAAAAAAAATGATTTTTTTTTTGCTGGGGAAACCACAACATGAGGAACTGTGATAAAGGGTTGCAGCCTTGGGAAGTTTGAGAACCGCTGCTCTACAGCTTAGGGCCTGGGCCTGGCCATTCTGAACCCAAGTAAGTCTTGCTTGAGTACCAAGTACCTCTCAATTGGCTCCATAACTCCCTGGGTTCATGATCTTGAGTGAATCATTTAACTTTGAAGTTTCCATCTCCTTGTGGTCAGGTGGGAGACGAGGCACTGATTATGGAGAACTAAGTGCTGCCAGCTAGCTACTGGTCCCTAGCGTCCCTGAGACTTACGGGCAACAGCAGCTGCTTTTCATGAACTGCAAAGACAGTGCTACAGCCTGAGAGGCCACAGAGGACAGGTGGAACCTAAGCCAAAGCATCTACTGTCCAAGTCATCAGACACAGTCTGGCCACAGTCCTTCTCTGCAAACAGAGCCCTTTTCCCTGCCTCACCCTGTTTGCTAGCCTCGCTCTCCTAGATCCTGAGGCTGGATGGAAGGTTCATGCAAACCTGCTATGCACGACTGAGGGAGGTCAGAAAGCAGGCCACTTGAGTACATCGGGTCAAACCTCTGGCCCTGCAGAACAGACTTGCCCCACCTTTTCCATAAAACGTGGTTATTTCTCTTTAAAATAAACAACCGACATAAAAACTATGAGTCCAATTTATTTAGAGGCAGGTATTTTTGCAGATTTTATATAAAAAATGAGTCAGTGATGCCAAGGAAATATCATTTCTTTTTGCCAACAGCCAATATTGTGCTCTTAAAGCAAAACAGAATTTTGGAAAACTCACCTCTGTTGCATGACCTCAACATCCTTCCATACTCAAAGACTTCATTAATGACATTAATAAATGTGACTTTTAACATATTACATAATAACACATGTCAACATTCCAAGGATCTGCACAGCCTGAGGAGAGTAGTATTTTCCAAGTGAGGAGTACAAACTATGGGTAAAAAAATATCTTCTGTAATGGTGGCCAATGTATCTTAGCTATGCATATGCAAATGTATGCATAAAGCTACAGACTCCACATTGCACCTAAATATTAAGAAATCACTGTTTTCTCAAGGTCTGGTGAGAAACAAAAAATAAATGCCTGAAATTATCTAAAAGGGCATATTGAAATAGTCCAAATACTTTGTCCAAATACTTATTTGCATAAGGCCAGATTTTCAAATTCCTCAAAGTAATACATGGACACAGACAGCACGGTGAAGCAAGGATTTCTGCTGTTTTCTGTGCACTAGCCATTAAGGCAACCCACAGAAATAGGAAATAACATTACTCTTGCTATTTTTAGAAGAAGAGTTATTTTCATAAGATATTTTGTCAATTTGTCACAAGTGTATAGTTGTGACTTCTAAGTGAGTCAACAACACTGGTTTTTCATCCATCCTTCTCTGAAACATCATTCTCTTTGAGCCACATGTTACAGGTGGATTTGACCTTCACTCATTTATGTATCCAGGGTGATGCTAGTGTCCTTCATTCTTAAGAAATTTGGGGAGCAGAAGGGAAAGAGTAGAGAAATGGTCAGGGCTCTGGGAAATGCTGGTCCCTGTTAGATGACGCACCGCCTTCTGAACAGTTTTGGTTGAGCCTCCTGTCTCCCAGATCACTTCCTGCTGTGCACCATTCACTTGACAAGCATTTACTTAGTCATTAACCTGACAAACATCATCTAGGCTACGGTCATTACAAGGTGTACCGTTGGATTTTCCACAGACACAGTGAACTCAGTACCTATCCCTATGTCATGGTTTGCCTGAGAAACGTCTCCCATAGGCTCATGTGTTCGAACAGTTGGTCCCCGGTTTATCTGGTCCACCACTGGTGGCACTGCTTGGGGAGGTTACAGAACCTTTAGGAGGCGGAGCCTTGCTGGAGGAAACTTATCACTAGGGACAGGTCTTTCTCCCTCTCTTTCTGCTTCCTGCTTCTGCTGCCATGGCCTTTCTCTCCTGCCCCAATGGATTCAACCATACGCCAGATTAAGCCCTTTCTTCCTTGTTGCTTTTGGTCATGGTATTTTATCACGGTAACAGAAAAGGAAGCGGTACACCCTAGTGCTGAGCCCGTGTCTCCTCACAGCTGCTTGGCGCCTGCACTCTCAGGGAAGTGAGCAGGTGTCAGCCAGTGTAAAACCCCCGGGATTTATCTTTGTCTGAGCCCCTCTCCTTTGCACAGCCACTTTTGTATCTCTTAAATTCGTCACTTTCCCTCATCCATCTAAGTTCACCCCCTAAATCCCTACTCCAGCCTTTGGATTGGCCTTTAGAGTCCTTCACCGCCCTTTTCATATCTGTCCTTCAAGATACCTGGGATCAAGAAGGTACATTTGAAGGGCCATTTGAAGGGCCAGGCTTGAGATTTCCATCTCCATTTTACACACGTGGAAAACGAGACTCTGAATAATAAATGAGCTGGCCAAGTCCAGGAGCTGTTTCCTACTGTTCTCATCTTATCTGTGACTCCAAGGACCAAATACACGCTGGCTAAGAAAGCAGAGAGTGCAATGCGGTTCTCCATCCATAGCTGTCCTCACAGCTCTGCATTCCCTCTCCTCACACTTTTATCGTGGGGCTCTTCCCTTGCCTGGCCCTCTCTCCCCATGAGTCCTTTGGTCACCATCTTCCTTCAGAACACCCTTCCTGCCTGTTTCTCCCAAGGGAATCACAACAGAAAGTTCCCATTCTAATGTTGGCTCCAGTAGTCAGTCTTCCTGCAGAGTTGCTTTGGTATGGGTTTTTTTTTTTTTTCTTTCTTTCTTTCTTTTCCTTCCAAGACAGGGGTTTTCCTTGTAGCCTTGGCTGTCCTGGACTGGCTTTGTAGACCAGGCTGGCCTCGAACTCACAGAGATCCGCCTGCCTCTGCCTCCCTGAGTGCTGGGATTATAGCGCCACCTCACCTGGTTTGGTTTGTTTTTTTCAATTCCCTCATCAAGTAGCTGGTGGTGGGTTTATCTGGATTCTTCCCCTTCTGCCACTCATGAAGGGATCCCCTGATCTTCTTGATGTTATTTCAACTGGTGTGTGCTGACGGCTAGTCTTGGTGATGTTCTAGGCCAATTCTCCACCACTATAATGCTTAACCATACCATCTGGTGGACCTCACAGTGTCCCCTCTGCCAAGTGGTGATTTCAGCCTCAAGATCAGTTCTGTCTAACTCCATGACCCTACCCTTAGACCATGCCTATAAATACCAACTGCAGGAACTGGCTAGACACTTGTGTTAAACCAGAGTAGAACTGGCATCTAAATGGCAGAAGCACCAGAGAAAGCTGGATTTAAGAGCACGATGGTTTTCTCCATGATCCAGTCTGTTCTGCAGCCTGCCTTCTGCCATCTCTTCCTGGACAATGTGCCTGTCCCAGTGGGTATGGCCCGCAGGTGCCCAAGTCTACCAACAGGGCAGGGCTGCTGGTGTGAAGCAAAAAACAATGTAGACATAAGACCTATTGCTCAAACTATGGGAGAGAAGCCTCATCCTTTTGTGGGAGGGATTCTGTCAGGGAAAGAGAAGAAAGGAAGTGGGGTGCCTCCAAAATTCCGCTTGGGAAAGCTGCGCATTTTAAGGCTCAGAATTCCCCATCGGCCTCGAGCTGCAGATGAGCACCCTCACTCTGTGGGCTGCTGTGGGCAGCCCAGGCTGAGGACCTGGATGTCTCCTCCCTCCTTGGAAATCTGCCTAGCTAGCTGCTGTGACTTCACAGGGACTGGGAGAGCTCCAGCTCTGGGGGCGGGGGAAGCTCCTGGTAAGTGAACTGTCAGAGCCCCAAACAATGGCTTTCTCTGTGCAGCTGCCTAGGCACCTGTGCCCGCACAGGCCCCTCTGTGCTTCTGCCTTTCGGCACACAGTAATGTCCATACACAGGCGGGACTTATAAATACCCTCCAGAGCAGAAGTGAAACCAACCACCAGTTCTCCTTTTTTCTGCTTAGCTGGAGCCCCGCAGCCGACTGCAGCTGCCACAGAGGCACACATCCCCTGGCACAGTTGACTGACCTGCTTGTAGTATTCTAGAGCAGGGAAACTTCTGGCTAGCATCCCCCTCAGGATGAAATGGGACACTGACTAAGGAACTAAACTGACCACTGAGTGAGGGGCAAAAGAGAAGAGAAAACAAGGGCAGCAGGGGTGAGGGTGGGAGGCATTCACCCACATTCACAGAGACGGAAAGCTGGTCTTGGGGCGTGCATTTACCTGTACGTAGAACGTCCTGGAGGTGGTTATGATTTCAAACAGGTTGTCCCTCATTAAGAGATCACTAGGCATGAAAAAGAGAGACAGCATTATACTAGGCATTGTGAGCCTTGTTTTGGTTTGGTTTGTTTGTTTGTTGGCACATTATATCCTACAGTTTTCCCAACCACACACTAATGCAACTTGAGACTTTCTCCTCTCTGTGGATAAGGAAGCCCAAGGTCAGAGACTTTAAAAGTTTTATCTGTCCAAGGTACTGGAGGTCAGAACCCGTCAAGTCCAAACATGCCTCTTCCAAAAGAGCTAACACCATTTCTAAACCCTTCCTTCTCCCAGGCAGCAGCTCCACCCATGACTCTGAGTTCCAGCTCGTGGCCTCACTGTGCTGGCCTAGGGGACAAGGAGCTAAGAGGAGAAACAGAAATTGAGAGTAGCCGACTTTAAGATTTGCTTCCCAGGAAACTGTTTAACATCCTTAGCCAAAAGAGAAATGCAAATTCAAATTATTTTGAGATTTCATCTCACCCCAGGCAGAATGGCCCACAGCAAAAAGATAACAAATGCTGGCAAAGATATGGGGAAAGAGGAACCCTTACTCACTAATAGGAGGGCTGTTAACTGGTGCAGCCACTATGGAAATCAGTCCAAAGGTTCCTTAAGAAACTAAAAATAAAACTACCATCTGACTCAACTACACTACTCATGACAGATGCCTCAAAGACTCTATGTCCTACCATGGAGATACCTGCACACTGCTGGCAATTACTGTGCTGCTCACAATAGCAAGGAAATGGTAGCCACCTAGATGTCCATCAGCAGATGAATGATATACAAACACAACAGAATTTGTTTAGCGTAAAGACAAATAAAGAGGCTGGATAGATAACTCAGCATTTAAGAGTTCTTCCTACTCTCCCAGAGGACCTGAGGTCAGTTCTGGCGCCCATATCAGGAGGTTCACAACCACCTGTAACTCCAGTTCCAGGGGCTCTGACACCCTCTCCTGGCTTCACAGGTACCTGCACATATGTGACACACATTCACACAGATAAATCTACATACACAAAAATAATAAAAAATGCCAGGCAGTGATGGCTCGCTCACGCCTTTAATCCCAGCACTCTGGAGGTTTGGAGGGAGAAAAGGGAAGGGAGAAATGCTGTAATCAAATTATAGTCGAAAAAAAGAAAAGAACCTCAACCTGGGTGTGGCTTTGGAAGAGAAGTCCTGACTCTGGCAAGGCAGAAGGCAAGAAGTAAGCACAAACTGGAATTGGCTGATGTTGTTTTCTATGTTCAAGGCCTGCTGTGTGGATCCGGTCGCTAAGAGGACTGTATGGGGAGTAAAGGAATTGCTACCAGGAAGAGCATCTGAAGAGGCTAGACCAGATGCAGGTAGGTTGGCATGCTGTGCCAACAGAGAGCCTGTGCCAAGGAAGGGCTGGTCCCAGGCAGAAATGTCATCTAGAATGAAAACACAGCAGAGACAAGGCCGGTGACATGCCTTCCAGGTAGAGGAAGAACACACTTAAGACTAGATAGACCTGACCCAAACACTGACGAGACAAAGAATCTTTGGGTCATGTACTGTAAATGTCAGCCCTTGTGTGTGAAACAAAAACAAAAAGATGCTTACTGACCTGGCCCATAAAGCCATCAAAGGCAGCTCGAACAACATGTATCGCTTGAAGTACATCCTACCAACTATTACGCCTACTTTCTGAGCTTCTAAGTAGAGACAGCCCTGTTCTGGCTGTGCTGACTAGTTTTATGTCAACCTGACATAAGCTAAAGTCATCTGAGAGGAAGGAACCTCAATTGAGAAAACACCTCCATAAGATTGAGCTATAGACAAGCCTGTAAAGCATTTTCTTCGTTAGTGATTGATGGGGGAGGGTCCAGCCCATTGTGAGTGGGCTGGCTCTATAAGAAAACAGGCTGAGCAAGCCATGATAAACAATCCAGTGAGCAGCACCCCTCCATGGCCTCCGCATCAGCTCCTGCCTCCAGGTTCCTGGCCTGTCTGACTTCCTGTCCTGACTTCCTTCAATGATGAACAGTGACATGGAAGTACAGGCCAAATGACCCTTTCCTCCCCACCTTGCTTTTTGGTCCTGGTGTTTTTAAACAGCAATAGAAACCCTACCTAACACAAGGTGAAATGTTTTTAACCTTCTAGATTGCTCATGCAAATGCAGCCAGCCCCACGGTCCACTGAGGAGGTGAAATCAGCCAAGCAGGGGAATCCTACCCCTCTCACCTCCACTGCCCAGGCTGCATGTGGCTTTCAGTTCTATCCAACTCAACAGCAACCATTGCTTACAGCTGTCCTGAATTCCCCTAAAGGTTCCAGAGAGGCTACACCGTCTAACAGCGCTGAGGCCATAAAGCCACAGCCTTCCCTGCGGACTTCACCTCCCTGACTCAAGTTCAGTGTGACTCAGGCAGAGTTAGAGGTATGGGGAGTTTTCAAGACTCCCAGGCTGGACCCTCCCCTACCTCTCCAAGCCGCCCTGGCATGGCCAAGTAGTCACATAGCTACACAGGCCCTCCAGGCCTCCAGGGTTAGGAGCAATCTGTACCCTACAACTGTCACTTGAAACACTCAGTACAGCATTTCTGGCCCTGCTTCCCTGGGTCACACAGAGCACGTGTTTCTGTAGGGCTGGATGCCTACTGTTGATAGATCCCCTTATGACCTACAGGAAGGAGAGATACAAACACACAGTCTGGACAGACTACAGACTCATGTTGGAGTCTATGAAGGGTCACTTCCAGCAGTGTCTATACTGGGGGATGGGACATTCTCTTGTCAAGTCCTGAATCATCCCACACACCATGCTCTCAGAAGCTATCCTTCCCAGCGGAAAGAGGAACAACTTAAAAATACTTGTTCTGCCTGCCAGGCGGCAGTAGAAAGGGCTGCTGTGCATCACTGCCTGTGTCAATGGGACATCAAGGACATAGGCAGAAAGGCCTGAGAAGTTCCCACAACAGTAAGCGTGAAGCCAGTGGAAATCCTCGGCCTCCATCTGAGCCACACTGAACCTGGGACCAAGGACCTGACATCTGACCCTGCCACGAGAGACACCTAATGCTGCCACCCTCTAATACAGCTCCTTATGTTGTGGTGACCTCCCCAACCATGAAACTACTTTCGCTGCTACTTCATCTCAGTTGTAATTTTGCTACTGTTATGAACCATAGAGTCAACATCTTTGTTGTCCGCTGGTCTTAAGTGACCCCTGTGAAAGGGTCATTCGATCCCAAGGGGTCATGGCCCACAGGTTGAGAACCACTGCTCTGTAGGGAAGACTCTTCAACCGAGCCTGAAAGGGGTAACAAGGGAAGATTTAAGGGGGACAACCATAGGCTCTGCTCAAAATGAATAAGAAGAGGCAATTACCCAGACTTGACCAGACATTCGTGAGTCTTGAGAACATCCTTGAGTGGTATAGTGCGCAGGGGCTCTCTATCCTGGGGGAAGAAGGGAAGATGGGCAAGTGAGGCTGTGGAGATGGCCCAGTGACCCATACCAGTTCACCAGCTCTCTCAGAGTCTTGGATAAAGCCAACCTGGTTTCAAAATCATTGTCAAGGGGAGAAACCTAAGCAGCAGCTGCTCTGTGGCTTCGCTCCCACAGACGCTCCCTGCACAGAGTCCAGGTCCTTTTAATAGCATCATAAACAGACACAGGTTGGCCAGAGATAAGACAAAGAGGTCTTAGAAGTCTACGTGGACCTGGTTTCCGCCCATGCACATTCTGTTTCTGAGACCTCTCAGGAGGGACCCGGACCTACTACCTACCTGCTCGCACTTGAAGTAGCAGATGGTGAAGTCATCGAGGGCAAAGAAACGCCGTTTCCAACTCTTCCGCTGAAATGCAAAATAAGGAGCCGAACATTACAGATAGGTTTCCAGCACCAGGACTGGCATGGTCATAATAAATGCCCAGGGGACCCAGCACCATGGAAGCCAGGCTCCTGTCTTCACCAGGGACAAATAACAGGAAGTGTGAGGTCAGTGAAAGGCCCAGGTCTTCATCTGAGCCCTGTCTTCCCTGAAACCAAGCATCTAACTCTAAGACCTGGGAAGCACCTGACTGTCACTCTCTGCTGCCACCAGATGCTACTACCGTGCCAGCCAGTTTTATGTCAACTTGAAAGAAGCTAAAGCCATCTGAGAGGAAGGAGCCTGAACTGAAAAAATGCCAATCATAAGATGGGGCTGTAGACAAACCCATAGGGCATTTTCTCAATTAGTGATCAATGGAGAAGGCCCAGCCCATTGTGGGTGGTGCCATCCCTGGGCTGGTGGTCCTGGGTTCTATAAGAAAGCAGGCTGAGCAAACCATGAGGAGCAAGCCATGAGGAGCAAGCCAGTAAGTAGCATTCCACCACAGCCTCTGTATCAGCTCCTGCCTCCAGCTTCCTGCCCTGTGTGAGTTCCTGGCTTCCTTCAATGATGGAGTAAGATATGGAAGTGTAAGCTGAATAAACCCTTTACCCTAAGACAACTACATGGGCTCATCTTCTTAGAAGCAAGAGTGGAGAAATAGAAGGAGGAAAATCTTCCCATCACTTTGAATGTAATGAGGCTTTTCCACACCAGGGGTATGGGGTGCTAACGGCTAGTTCCCAGTGGTGGTTAGCATAAAGGGGTACAGCTCTTCCTCCTATTCTCCTCTGCTACAACCACGCCCACTGGCTCCAAGGAGTCATTAGAACCACCCCCCCACCCCCCACCCCCCGTGTAGCCCCTGTGCTGTCACTCACCACATTCCCTTGCTTCACACAGTAGCCACTCTTAATGAGGGGAGGCCCGGCGGAAGGACGGTAGCCTGACGTGGGGATGTAGCTCTGAGACCTCCGCAGGAAGGCGTGGGACCCCAGCTCACTCCCTTCCTGCCCATCCCCACCATTCTACAAGGAAACAGAGGCAGTGTTAATACCCAAGATACACCCCTGTGCAGGCCCAGCTCCTCCCAGCCTTCCCACCACATCTCCAGCCTTTGGTATAATACCTGTCAAAGAAATAAGAACTGACTTTGCTCCCGGCTGGGTACTGCTCTACCAAGTGTTTTCACAAAGCAAGACACTGGCTAGAGACCCAGAAGAGGAGACCGACAACACAGAACAGAAGAAGGCAGAAGGCAGAGTGGAAAGGCTTACTTCGGACTTGTGCCAGTCTTGTTGCCTGCCTCAGACCCGCGTCCTTTACGCTTTCCAAGTGTTTGTTTGCTTGGGTCCCAAGCAGAAGCACACAGGCTACACATCCACAAGATGCCACGATGCCTGGCTTCAACTTCTCGATGGGCCGTGACTACTTCCACCCTGCACCGTATTTTCCTGGCCACCCTCTTCACCAGCCCCCCCCCCCCATCCTGTTGCTATGTGCTGGTCCTCGGGCACAGTGGGCATGTCCTTACTGCCCCCAGCTGCCCCAAGCAATAGCACCTGGCTGATGGGAGTTTGCACCACCACTCCCCCGATGATCTCAGTCTTGTAGGCCACCTGCGGCTTCTTCTCTAGGGCGGGAGGAGCTGTCAGGTTTTTGAGAACTTCAGTGGTCAAGGGTAGGGTGCCAGCTTTGGGAACCTAGGAAGAACAGGGATGTGGTCAGCAAGAAATAGAAAGCTTAGGAAGAGAGTGGAACCACAAACAGGATGGGGAGAGGGAGCTAATTTACTAAACTATGGTAAGTACACTCTCCTCTCCTCTTCTCCCCAGCACTTTCACAGAAAGCTATACCCAAACATGAGGAACTCAGCCAATAACCTGACACACAGACACACACATAGATACATGCACATACACACACACAAACACACATATACATAACACACACACATTCATGCATAGACACATACACATATACACATCCATACATACATAGTTATACATATATACACACATTTAACACACTTATACAAATATATATACATACACACATAGATACATACACATACACACATACATACACACAAATGCACACATATACATACATATGCGTAACATACATACACACACACAAAAAATACACATAACAAACATATACACAGGCACATAACACACACACACACACACACACACACACAGAACAAACTTACTATATACCTAAAGGATGAGCTACCCCTCTTTAGAAAGCAAAGAACAAAGTAGTTAAGACTGAACAAAAATCCTCAGCGAAACAAGAAGTCAGAAAAATGAGCAGGTAGTGGTAGAATAACATGTGTATACATACATACATACATACATCCTCTGCCACCACCTCTCCAAATCAAACCAGAAACCCACCATCTCCTTCAGGTGGCCTGACCTGAAGCGGTCCACATCACGGCCCAACCAGTACCAAGGACAGTACTCAGGTTCCCACTGCACCCTCCTTAGCTCAGGGGTAGGATTGCCATAATTTTACACACAACGTAATCACAGATCATCAAAGCTGTGTCCTTTACTCCTAGGACGCTAGCTATCACTACCTCCTCTAGCCACCCTCGTCAATTTCCTGTGAGTGTCTGACCTGACATGCCAAACCCACCGCACGGACACAGCACACAGTGAGACCCTTCCTCCACCAGCCTTGCCTCACCGTCTTCGGGAAGGTTTGTCAAGGTTTACCGGAGTAGTAAGCAGCCGGCACACTGCTTACCTGGCTATATTTTACCCTGCTAGGGTACAGCAACAGAGGTGCTGGATATATGGATTTCATCTACTAATATTCACGAGAACCCTGAGGTTTCTGGAGGAATAATTTGTCCCAATGATGGACATGTTAATTCAAAGTCAAGGGAAGACCAGCATTTCTGACTGTTCAACACAGAATTTCTAAGCTTCCAGCAAAGCATGTGAGACCAGTCTCTGCCTTTCTCGCTGGGTTTCATTTTCACTGTTGTTCTTTTTTCTCCAAAGCAGTTTTTGCTATAGTTACCAAATACTTCCCCATGCTAGAAGCTTGGTCCACAGCCTGTGGCCCTACTGGGAAGCAGTGGAATTTTCCAGAGATGGGCAGAGTGGGAAAAGTTAGCTCACTGGGTGTATGCCCTTTGTGGGGCTATGAGGACCCAGCTCCTTCTTTTGTTCTTTGCTTCTCAGCCACTGGGAGATGGACAGGTTTCCCATGCCACAGGCCCCACCTTGATATCTGGCCTCAGCACAGGCCCAAGGCAGCAGGGATAAACCCCAGGAACAGCAGGAGCAAACACAGTAATCTGTAATTAACCTCTCCTTCCTATAACTTGATTATTTCAAGCGTGTTGTCACAGTGCTGGGGAGTGAACAGTGTTTTCTCCCTTCTAACTCTCCTCTGTTTCTGTTTGTTTGTTTTGATTTTTTTGAGACAGGGTTTTTCTGTGTAGTGTTGGCTGTCCTGGACTAGCACTGTAGACCAGGTTGGCCTCCAACTCACAGAGGTTGGCCTGCTTCTGTCTCCCTGAGTGCTGGGATTCAGGATATGCTACTGCACCTACCTTCTTCTTCTTTTTTTCTTTCTTTTTTTTTTTTTTTTTTTTTAATATTTCTAGGGAATGAATTCTTTATTAGCCAAGTCCAGGAAAGCCAGAGTCCTTAACACAATCCATGAACAAGTTTTAAAGCTAGCAAAGCTTTTGAACAGACTCTGCTAAGATCTAAGTGCCTTCTCATATGCTTTCCCATTCCTCCACTTCTCATTGTCAGCAATCCTTTTTCCAACACTACAGCGCTGAGTCATCATCCCATAATTACCCAGAACATGATGGACAGGAGCCCTCCCAGGAAGCACACAGGGAACACTCCATAAACTTCCCCTGTCAGCCCGTGGACAGGAGAAGGCCAGAGAGAGCCAGGTCTGCACAGGCTCTGGGGCAAGTCCCTGCTGCCTTCTGAGTTTGCCCCTCCCCCTACTGGGGTCACAAGCTGGGACACAGCCCTTCCACTCCTGGAGAGAACACAAAGTGTACGTACGGTGATCTTGCTGGCTTGGTTCAAAGCTTCTACCCAGTCCTTCAGATCTTTCTGGTCATTTGCTTGAAGAAAATATCTCTGAGACAGGGCATTGATAACTGTAAAAGCAACGGGGAAGGATGGAGAAGGCAACCAGGTCAGGATTTATGGATCACAAGAACCCACGAAGCCATTGCGTGGAGACAAATACTTACTGAGTACCCACTAAATGGCTGAGAACACGCGGTGACAAAGCAGGAAGTAGCCCCACCTCCCTGAAGCCCATGTTCAGAGGTGCCCCAGAAATGCCCCAGCATTTGACGGTAGTGAGGCCTCGTTACCAGCGACTGATCTGTCGGGCTCAGCAAAAGCCGAGGGGCTTGAGACATTGACAGAGGGGCTCTGCTTCCCACACCACTAACCCCCGTCCTCCCAACTTGCACTGTTTGGCAACCTTGAGACCCTCAATATTCCTTCCTTCATTTTAATTCAATGTTCTGTCTGCATGTACACCTATATGCCAGAAGGGGGCACCAGATCTCACGATCTCATTATAGATGGCTGTGAGCCACCCTGTGGTTGCTGGGAATTGAACTCAGGACCTCTGGAAGAGTAGCCAGTGCTCTTAACCTCTGAGCCATCTCTCCAGCTCCTACTAGATGTTTTCTACCCTCCTTCTGGCATCAAGAAAACAGAAAGACAGCCACGTATGATAGCTCAGCTTGTAATCCCAGCACATTGGAGTCTAGGTGCAGCAGAGGCAAAGTTCCAGGCCAGTTTGGGCATGGAGGAAGGGAAAGAAAATTGGGTGGGGGGAGAAAGAGAAAGAAGGGCAGGAGGCAGACAACTGCCAGAAGCCAGCCTGGCTAAATGCTGCCAGCCCCTGTGTGCCTGGTCTCAAGTTGTTAATAATCTTTGCAGTGGCATTACCCAGCACACGGAACATCACCATTATCTAAGCCACTCAGACACACAGCACACAGTTCCCATGGAATCACAGGGCTGTCTTCCATGGAGAAGAAGCTGTCACCGTGAAAAGAAAACCCACTGTGGCTCAGTACTTACCGAAGCAGAATGGAGTTTTGGGTTTCTGCTTTGGGGTAGCGATGCTCACCTACGTCAAATGGAGACAAGAGAGAAGTGAATGTGTTTCCAGCCGTGCGGAAAAGGCTGACTTTGAAAATACTTTGAACATAAAAAGAGCATATCAAACATGTACATTTGAAGACCAATAACTGAGTCTTGCCCCCAATTCTTTAAGAAACTGACATTGTACGCCTGTAATACCACTACTTTGGGAGGCAGGGGCAAGTGGGTCTCTGTGAGTTCAAGGCCAGCCTGGTCTAAAAAGCAAATCCAGAACAGCCAAGGCTATACAGAGAAACTCTGTCTTGAAAACCAAAAACCAAAAACCAAAAACTGGCGTGATGAGCCCTGCTCCTTAGATTAGTGGTTCTCAACCTTCCTAACACTGCATGCTCATGCTGTGGTGTCCATCAACCATAAAATTATTTTGTTGCAACTTCATAATTGTAATTTTGCAACCATTATGGATCATAATGTAAATCTCTAATATGCAGGATAATTTTAGTGACCCTCTTGAAATAGTTGTTTGACTCCCAAGACCCACATGTTGAGAACCACTATCTTAGCAGCTCGCTGTACCCATTTCCATTGACAGATCCTCTATTATCCACATAACTGGCATCTTGAAGCCTGTGTTGATGTTTGTCTCTGCACGAACAACTTTAAAAGCCACTGGATCTGGAAAAGATTCTCTCTGAGCCACAAGATCCAACAGAGTCGCATTCACTCCAGCATGCTTCTCCTATGCTTTCAAGAGCTAACCCCTTTCCCCAAACAGTCTCCCAACTGAAGGTACTTTGGGCATATAAACTCCAACCAGAGTAGAAAGGCGGTGGCAGGCATATGCTGCCCACAGGCCTACCTATCTACGGTGGCCATGAACACTCCGGTAGCCCAGAGGGTGCTCGCCTGGGTACGGTCAAGAGTAGATGGGAACGGGTGTGCTTCGGCTAGCTTTTGCAATCCCACCCCTTGCATAGGCATCACTGAGTGCCTGCACGGAAAGCCGCGCCATTCAGGCTCGCGTTCCATCACCGCCTACAAAGATCTGGTGATTATCCACCAAATGGGTGCTGGTCCAGACACCCTGCAGCGCTCCACACATCCCATTCGCTAGGGATGCCTAGAGATACAGCATCTGCCACAGAACTCATCCACACGTAGTCACCATTCTGCCCTGGACACTGTTCTCTCAGCCCCCCAGTCTGGAGGTGGGGGTGACGTCTCTTGGAGGCTTACCATTGCTAAGATCTAATGATGACTGATACACTGGTCTCTAGGCTCTTGCTCTTGACCCTAAAGTCTTCCTAGAGACCCACCCTGATTCCTCAGCCCAAACTAACACTGCCCCAAATACTCAGCCAGGAACTGAGGTGGCACCCCATAAAATATCAAAAAGATAAATAGTAGAGGCTTGTTTCAGAATCAGTCTCAAATCACCGGTATGCGAGCTCCATTACATGTTCTGTCAGGGAAGGACTGACAAGGCCATGTTCCTGTGGAGTTAACCCAAGCATCAGACACGGCAGTGAAAGCAAGGGACCTGGCTATACTGCCATACAGAATCTGCTCACTAAGGAGGACTGTTATGCTTGGCCAGGAAGCAGCATCTGTAAGCCCAGCACTTGGGAGGCTGAGACAAAAGGATCCTGACTTTCAAGGTCATCCTGGACTACACAGTAAGTTTCAGGCTAGCCTGAGTTACATGGGTAGACCCCATCTTAAAACAAACCACACACCTACACATGCACATACAATAATAATAATAATTAATATATTATTTATTATAACCAAATAATGATTGTTGTTTTGATATGTCAGTTATTAATTATAATTACAGTATATAGTTATATTATTATAATATAAATAATTGTGTTATATTATTTTATTAATAATTATTATTACTTAAAATAGGACCCAAAAAAACCTGCCTAGCTTCCAACCTTAAAAACAAACCACACATTGCATTTCCATATTAAAAATTACATGTCTGCATGATATTACATCAACCTCAATGACAGGTACTTAAAACATACAAGATGTCACATGACCCGTTTCTGAAGACTCCATCTGCTGCTGCTGACCTTCCTACTAGCAGAATCCCAGTGCTGCACAGATCACCAGGGGAGGGAGAGACAGATAATATATAGGTGCATGCGTGCGTGCGTGTGTGAGTGCGTGCGTGCATGTGCGTTCAATCCACTGTATTGATGAGAGAACCCCAAAGTGAGGCGGAGACCATGCAGCCTAAGGAAGTTCTGGAAAACATGAAGGGGAGCCCACAGACCTGAGCTCGGACAGACAACCCGAAGCAGTCGCGCCTACACGCTCCACATCTCGAAGGCTGGCAGTGCGGGCCCTGAGCCACCTTGTTTTCCTGGGGTTCAGGGCAAGCCAGTCGCTGACCTGCAGCCACTCATTTCCCAGCTGTGACCCTCAGTGTCTGTGTTCCCAGGCAGCTTCCTGTCACCTGCATGCGCTGGGCTGGGTTCCTGCGTTAACCCTGCGTGTCACAGAGCTGCTGTATTCTGGCCCCTGAATCCCACCAGCCAACTCCAGCTGGCAGTTTCGGTGGCACTGAAAAGCTTGGTCCCAGAGAGCCTCTCTACCGTGTCTGGGGGCATCAACAACCGGACGGAGCGACACTGGCTGACCCTTTCACCCTGCAAGGATTACGAACCATCATGCTCACTGCGTTGGTTAGTCAGCCTGGGAAAAGGCTGCGCTTGCACTTACCGTGAGAGCTGACGCTTCCAAAGTCAACGCGTGGCTTTCTGCTTGCTTGTCTCTGTGTGTGCACTCCGTAGTCAGGAGGGCCACACATGTACATTTACAGTGAGTCCCAGCCCCACGGCTTAGCATGGGAGTGTTGCTGGGCAAGGCAATTCATTGCCAAACTAACGGGATTGATCCCAGTTCTGACCTGAGGAGCTGTGGAACAGCGCTGAGAGCCTCCACAGACGGGACCTCACAGACACAGGACAGCAGGAGCGGAACATTAATTTGCCCACCTGTGGCTATGTCCACAGAGAAGAGCTGTTGCTAAACACTGATTCTGGTCTGCTCCCCAAAAGCACGAACTGCGCCCCCAACCCCATCTACCTGCCACCTGCTGGTGACAGTTTCAGGCTGCAGCAGCCATCTTTAAACACAGGAGGAGAACGGAGGATCTGCAAGAAGCAGTGCGGCCACAGGCGGGTGAGGACTTCCAACAGTCTGACTCAAATTGAGGGCACTCAGGCACAAACACGCTCACACCACACGGCGGCCACAATTGAGTCACTGCCCAACGGTGGTTGACTGGCAGGTCCCGTGAGCACGCCAAAAGCAAGAGGGGGCTGGGATGTTAAGGGAAGGGTGCCTAAGGGGCCCCCTCAGGGTGACAGGTGACGCAGAAGAGCCACTTGGCAGCTCTACAGCCTCAGGCGCTTTTGATTATCAGATCAAATACCCGAGCTCGAGGCAGCAGGGCACTGAGAGGACCAACCACACCCTGTCTGCCATTGGCCGGAAGTGAAGCTGGGGCCTCTCCAGCACAAGGAACAAGAGCAGAGCAAAGCCTTGGAGACGGCTCCGGTGTCTGGGGAGACCTTGTCCCTCAAGGAGGCACTAAGGGCAACACAGTAAGAAGCCACCGATACAATCATCAGAGGCCTGCAAAGTTGGTACATGTTTTTCTGGAAAGTGAGCCAATACTCTTCATTAAACTCTATAGGGAAGTGGTTCTCACCCCTCCCAAGGCTGCGACCCTTTGATACTGTTAGTTCCTCACGTGTGGCGATCCCCAACATAAAATCATTTGCATTGCTACCTCACAACTGTTAGTTTGCAACTGTTATGAATTGTAATGTAAAGATCTGTGTGTTCTGATGGTCTTGGGTGACTCCTGGGAAAGGGTTGTTTATCCCCCCCCGCCCCCCGCCCCGGCCAAGGGATCTCAACCCATAGGTTGAGAACCACTACTCTAGAGTATCTGTGCCCCTCCTGCTCCCTGCCCCTACAAACAGTTAACAACCAGCATCTTAGAAGGACCTGTTATCTATCAGAAACCCTCACAAGATAGGCCCAACCAAGGCAGGATTGGGAGTTGGCTGTGTAAAGATGTCTGGATTAGGAGAGAAGGGCTATAATGCCAAGATAGGCCAAGCTGTTATTTTCTAGTTTGCCCAAAGACTGGTTCTGCCTTTATGAAGTCCTGGAATCAGATACTTCCATCTCTGGGTTTCCTCTCTGGGGGATCCCTCCCCCTCCCCCGCATGCCTCACCCCCACTTCCCCATCCCCCCTTTTGCCATCCCCATTTCCCCACAATAGCCTTCAGGGACAAAGCAAACCAGCCCATCTGACACTGGGCAGAGGCTCAACCCAGGGAGTGACCCAAGGCTAAGGGAGAAAAATAAAATGAAATAAGGACTCAGGATCTCAGCACTACCAGGACCTGGGTTTGTGTTCTGGCAGTGGGTCAGCTGGAATTAAGGTACTCAGCAATCTGTGACCTAACCCAGTGGCAGTTGTGGGTTTTTCACAGACTGGTGCGGGCTTGCCTGTCTCGGGAAGGGCAGAAAGTCAGGTCATCCTTTCTAAATGAGGCAGCCAGCCAGGCAGAGAATACTGAAAGCCTCGAATGAACTGCACTTATAAATCATGATTCAGCAAGAGGATTATATTCACTCCTTCCCTGGCCAAAAGAAAAAAAAAAAAGTCTCCCCAAACCCTCACACAGGCGATGGTTTCAGTTTTCGTTTTTTTTGACAGGGTTCTCTGCTCCCCCTTCCCTCTCAATTCTCTTTCTGAAGAAATGACCTAATGAGCTCACAGCAGATGAGAAGAAAGGGCCCCTATGGGGGTGGGGGTGGGGTGGGAGAGGGGGTTGGGCTGGGCTGCCCTGGCCTGGACAGGCGGCCACATTTCTTATCAAAAGGCATGCACAAATTGCCTGCAGCTGTGCTAGCAAAGCTGCACTTTAACCCATGTTCTCCCCCTGAGGCCACCATCTCCTCTCTAATCAGCTCAGCCACTGCCTATCTGTCTTTTCTGCCTCCACACTGAGATGGGGCTGCCGGGTTCTGCCTGCACAGCTGGCAGGCCGGGGTAAGCCAGTCAGTCCCAGTCCTCTCAGGACGTGGGAGGCTCTCACAGAGCTCCTTAAATCTGTCACCAAGTGGAGCTGGTGGCTTCTTAGCTCAACCCCTAGCTTTTAGGTCCTCAAAAGTCCATAGAATGGGAGGGCCAGGGAAGAAGCAGGGACCCCTGTGAGGGAGGACCGACTTCTGTGGCTTTGGGGCTGGCTGGGTGCCACCTGGCTCTCCCCTGGCTTTCTGAATTGGACCTAAATTCCCTGGCTTCTTTTTCTTTTTTCTTTTTTTAAAAATCAGGGCTACATCATGGGTTAGCAGCAGTGGCTGCCCTGGGGAGGGGGGCTGCTCAAAACAGCTGAATTCAGCATCACTGACTGGCCCCACACCCCCAGGACAGGACATGAACGCCACGTTGGGGGCACAGACTGCCCAGGGGCCTGCCATGCTCCCCAGAAGGTACCCAGATGTTGACTGTGGTTCTGGCATATCTTAGGGCCTCTTCTAGGGGGTGTTCGCAGCCCCCCCCCTTCACAAGCATTCTGCCTGGAGAACTGGTACAATTCCAGGGGGCCCAAGCCCATGTCCAAGCTGCTGCTCATTAACTCCAGTATTCACTTTGAGAGAATACTGGATCACGATGATTGTTCCTATGTCCTTCTGTCCAGGTTACAATAAAAAATAAAAAATAAATAAATAAAAAAGCACCCTACTTTTGATGTGAAATGCCTCCCAAGAGCCAGGCGTGGTGGTGCCTGCCTGTGATTACAGCATTCAGGGAGGCAGAGACAGGCAGATCTCTAGGTTGGAGGCCAGCCTGGTTTACAGAGCGAGTCCAGGATAGCCAAGGTTATACAAAGAAACAAAGAAAAGAAAAGAAAAGAAAAGAAAAAAGGAAAGGAAAGGAAAGGAAAGGAAAGGAAAGGAAAGGAAAGGAA